CCGAGGGGCGTCCGGGCCGATGAGCTTGCCGCTTCCCCGTGCCCTGTAGAGGTTTCGAGACAGAGAGAGAAGCACGGGCCGGTTCCGAGCCCTCCGGACCGCTTGTGGGGAACTGAACCTGCACGCGGGGCCGGAACGTGGAACTGCGAGGCCGCGGAGAGGTGAGTCCCGCAGGTTCGGGCGGGGGCTGCAGAAAGGGGAGCCCCTCAGGCCGCGAGGGTCGGACTTCCCAGTGTAGGATGCCCAGATGGGCTTAGGAGTCCAACGGAGGACTTTCTGGGGAAACAGTATTATTAATCTCCTACTCGAAGGTAGGGACGTGTATTAACAATAAAAAACCCTTGGAAATAGTGATCTGCCCTCTTTCCCTTTTTCTCCACTGGCCTCTCTCCCGGCCCTTTCTTTATGCTTTTTTCCGACAACACTCGCGGACTTGCAGGGAAGAAGGTCCGCCCGCGGGTCCTCGGTCGCCTTCAGCATCCTCGCGGGAGAAAGGCGCGGAGTTGCCCCCGAGCGCTTCTGTCTGTGCTTGTCCCAACCCACCCCGCTCCTTGCCTGCGAATGATTTCTTAATGGTTCTCGTTTGCCTATTAAAACTTCAGGTCCGAAAGATTGTTCTTTCAGGAGCCTATCCCTATGGTCCTTAGGTACTTCCATTTTCACTGCTCCCGGCTTGATCAGCAGCTGTACAACACCGCCGACATTGTTTGGGAACATGCGCTCCCATGTAACCGTTCATGTGGTTTCCCCAGTCACCCTGGACATGGGTACTGCCCGCTTTTCCTGGTGCAAGGAGAAGCAGCCGAAAGCGGTAGAGCTAGGTCGCCCCAGGCCCTTGCTCTCTCGCTCCAGAGTTTGGTGACGACTGACTGGTTCCTGAGATACCAGTCTATCCACATCTATGGACTTGTACCTTCCTCGGCTTAACTGAATTCTGCTTTTCAAGGCTCAACTCAATTTCTATCTCCAAACACCTTTGTCTGGATGAGTGATGATCTGTGATCAAATGAAGTTTAACTTAAGGAGCTTAATTATTATGCCGTCATCTAAAGCATGGGGTCAGTCTATATGTACTAACCTGGAACGATGTCATTTTTGAATAGGAAAAAAAAGATCCCATCTGTGTGGTTTAATTACACATCTACTTGAGGATGCATAGAACATATCCCGAGGCGTAATTGGGTGACTTTGAAGAGTGCTCTTGGGGAAAGAAGCCTTAAATTGATTTGTATATAGTTTAAGAAAAATTTTAACTGTCAATAATTCTGATATTGCTGTATCTACTCCTTTTGATGTTAAAATAATGTTTTATGAAATGGCGATGGTAGAGGTAAGTTTTGTTTTAAATCATTGTTCTCAACACAGTGAGGAGTTGCCAATATAGTTGTGGCCACATGGATCTCTCCAGTGTCTGAGTTACTATTGCTTGTATAGTGCTAATTACTGAATCTTAACACTCAACAGTTCTCCAGTTATTTCTCTTGTTTTGGTAATGCAAGGGTAGAGCCTAGGACACTTGTTTGTGTATTTTCACAGTACCTAACACTGCACTGGCCACACTAAATGAGGTTTTATAGACCTTGATTGTTTGAGTTAGACATCAGTGTTTAGCAGGAGATTTTTTAATTCAAATTATTATAGAAGTGAAGACAAAATTTCTTTTCTCTGTCTTCTCTAGGAAGGTGCAATGGCGAGGAGTTTACCCTTAATCTTCATCCTGACCTTCACTCTGTCAGTCACAAATCTCCTTCATGAAGTAGAATCAGCAACTGCTCTCCCTCAGACCACTGAGAAAATTCCAAACTGGGAATCTGGCATTGATGTTGATTTGGCAGTTACCACCCAGCGACATCATCTACAGCAGCTTTTCCATCGCTATGGAGAAAATAATTCTTTGTCAGTTGAAGGGTTCAGAAAGTTACTTCAGAATATAGGCATAGATAAGATTAAAAGAGTTCATTTACACCATGACCATGAGCATCACTCTGACCATGAGCATCACTCTGACCATGAGCATCACTCCGACCATGAGCATCACTCTGACCATGAGCATCACTCCGACCATGAGCATCACTCTCACCGTAATCATGCTGCTTCCGGTAAAAATAATCGGAAAGCTCTTTGCCCAGACCTTGACTCTGATAGTTCCAGTAAAGACACTAGAAACAACCCGGGGAAAGGATCTCGCCGATCAGAACATGCCAATAGTAGAAGGAATATTTTAATCAAAGATGGTGTTGGTGCTAGTGAAGTGACCTCAACTGTATATAATGCTGTCTCTGAAGGAACTCATTTTCTGGAGACAATAGAAACTCCAAAACCTGGAAAGCTCCCTAAAGATGTGAGTAGTTCCACTCCACCCAGTATTACAGAAAAGAGCCGGATGAGCCGGCCCTCTAGAAGAAAAACAAATGAATCTGTGAGTGAGCCCAGAAAGGAGTTTATGTATTCCAGAAACACAAATGCAAATACTCAGGAGGTAAGATAAAGGCTGTTCTTATTTTAATCAATATGCCTGCTTGTCTATTTTGTCATTGCCATTCTATCTCTAGTTGTAAGGAGTTTAAAGTAAAAATAAAATGGTTAAGTTACTGAAAACGGAATTTCTCAGCAAGGCACTTGGCCTAAAGTGTCCCTACCATGTTGTAATCATTTCTGATTTAAAAAAGAAAAAAAACTTGGAGGATAGTAAGAATAGTGCTGCCTTCAAAACTTTTTTTAAAATATATTTTTATTGCTTTTAGAAAGGAAGGACGAGAGAGAGATAGAAACATCAATGATGAGAGAAAATCATTGATCGGCTGCCTTCTGCACACCCCACGCTGGGGGTTGAGCCACAACGTGGGCATGTGCCCTGACTGGGAATTGAGCCGTGACCTCCTGGTTCATAGGTTGATGCTCAACCACTGAGCCATGCCAGCTGGGCTAAAACTTTTCTATATAGAATTTAAAATTAAGTATAGAAAGCAGATATCAAAGTTATTTTTGGAAGGCGAGTATTATTAATAAAAAGTAGAAAATGGGAGGTGGAAAATGTAGGAGTTAGAATCCATGTTTTAGGGAAAGGTGTGGTTGAAGGGGTTGAAGAATTCAAGAACGTTAATACCTCCTTGCAGAGGGATTGTAATGATTAGTGGAGTCATTGGAACTGCTGCCAAGAATGACATACTGGACAAGTGAATGCCTGGGCAGTGAAGTTCTGATTTCATGTGTTTTTTCTAGATTAGACTTCAAGGCTGTACTCAGTTTGCCTTGACTGAAAGATGTCAAGAACAAGGAGTTAGTTGATACATGTTAATAAGCAAAACTTAAGTACTTCATGCAAGCCATCATATGACTGTTCTAATTCTGGGATACTACTACGAATGGTCATTCCCTTAGCGACACTGGTAATAAAGTTTGTTCTTTGTATTATTAACCAAGAATTGGTGGAGTTTAAAATAACTTTACAGACGATGAGAAACAGTTGCTACCACCAATTCTGGGGGAATAGAAGGAGCTTAGGTTACTCAGAAGATTCTCTTCAAACTAGTCATCTCATTAAATTGTTGAAACAGCTGCCTGCCAATATAGGTTTGCTTTTATTACCAACTTTACCCTATGTGAGAGTAATGTACATACTTTTAATAGTCTCTCGTAGAGCATTATTTTGCCAAGTGTTTAGTCAGAACTGAACTAAGTTTTGCAAGTATGGTCATTGTTGTAAGAATGACGTGTTTTGGACTTGTTTAGGCCAAGTAGCGTTGGTACTAAAATAACATGTGCCAATGTCTAATGACCCTCATCTCGAAATTAAAGCTCATTTCCTTAATAGGTTTATACAGTGAGTTAACAGGCTTGTGAATGTTCATTTATCCTCAAGCTTATTTCACTTAAGGCTTTCTCCCTAGGCGACTGATGTAACTTTCTACCTAGAAGTAAGCAGAGAGGAGAGATAACACTATTATGACATAATATCTCCAGGTAGTTTGAGAAATTCCAAAGTACTTAAAACAAAAGTTGATTTTAATTAGTGTTAACCTAAAATTAAGAAGCAGCTTCAGTAAGGAAAGGGTATTGTGTCATCAAACAACTTTTTTGGATTATCTAATGGGAATGCCTTTTGGTGCTTTTCACTGCTTTGTTTTCTTTAGTGTTTCAATGCGTCAAAGCTGCTCACATCACATGGCATGGGCATCCAGGTTCTGCTGAATGAAATGGAGTTCAACTATCTCTGCCCAGCCATCATCAATCAAATTGATGCTAGATCGTGTCTGATTCATACAACGAGTGAAAAGAAAGCTGAAATCCCTCCAAAGACCTATTCTTTACAAATAGGTAGAATTGAGTTTTTTTATGTAAAAATAATTTCCAGTAGATACATTTATGTTGTTAGTGTTCTTTATATTTACAAAAACCTATTCACTTTTAGCATATTCAAATATAACATCTCTTTTTAATTTTATCTTTATTATTGAAAGTATTACATATGTCCCCCCTTTTTTTTTCTCATTGATCCCCTCCACCCTGCACCCGCCCCTCCCAGGCCTTCACCACACTATTGTCTGTGTCCATGAGCTATGCATATAAATTCCCGGGTTATCCTCTCCCCACCTACCCCACCACCCCTCCTTCCTTCTTAGATTCCTCAGTCTGTTCATGCTTCTATGTCTCTGGATCTATTTTGCTCATCAGTTTATTTTGTTCATTAGATTCCACATGAGTGAGATCATTCTGCCTTGAATGAAAAAAGCAAGCATGTTAGCCTGACCCTAAAAAAAACTTAGATTGTAACTTGCCTTATCTTTTTTTATTTTAACAACTTGTCACACCACCTATGGAAGCAAAACAACACAACATGCTGCTGCTTCACCCAAAAGCGGTGTTTACTTTGCCCTTTCTCTTGAGGGCTCCGTGGGTCATTAGCAAAAGACCCAATGAGTGCTTTTAAAAAGGGGTACTTGCCTTATCTTTTAAAAAAAAATAGATAAATGAGTAAAACATAGGTTGTAACTTGCCTGAGGTCATGAAGTGTCAAGGGCTATCTGAAATTTGGGCTTTTTATATTGTCACTCTGTTTGGGAAGAAGGGTCAGAGTTCATCTCTGCTGTTTAGGAGCCCAATTCTGGTTTGTTATTTATTTATTTTTTAAATATATCTTTTTATTGATTTCAGAGAGGAAGGGAAAGGGAGAGAAAGAGAAACATCAATGATGAGGGGGAATCATTGATTGGCTGCCTCCTGCACGCCCCCTACTGGGGATTGAACCTGCAACCAAGGTACGTGCCCTTGACTGGAATCGAACCCAGGACCCTTTGATCCACAGGCTGACACTCTATCCACTGAGCCAAACCAGCCAGGGCTCTGGTCTGTTATTAATAAATCAAACCAGGATAAGCTGTGCTATAGTATAGAGCAGGGTTAGGGAACCTATTTTCTGCCAGGGCCATTTGGATATTTATAAATCATTTGCTGGCCATACAGAATTATCAACTTAAATATAAGCCTGCTAGTGGTACATCTACATAATGGAATACTATGCTGCTGTAAGAAAGAAGGAACTCTTACCTTTCATAACAGCATGGATGGACATGGAGAGCATTATGCTAAGCGAAATTAGCCAGTCGGAGAAAGATAAATATCACATGACCTCACTCATTTGTGGAATATAATGAACAACATAAACTGATAAACAAAAATAGATCCAGAGACAGAGAAGCATTAAACAGACCCTCAAACCTCAGAGGGAAGGCGGGGGATAAGAGAGCAACCAAAGGACGTGTATGCATGCATATAAGCATAACCAATGGACACAGACACTAGGGGGGTGAGGGCATGTGTGGAGGGTGGGAGTGGCCGGTGAGAGGTCAATGGGGGGAAAAGGAGACATATGTAATACTTTAACCAATAAAGAATGAAAAACAAATTAGCCTGTTATATTTGCTCATTTAACTCCTAGCCTTGGTAGGGCTAGACCAAATGATTTCACAGGCCTTATACAGCCTGAGGGCCGGATGTTCTAGAGACGGTCCTCATCTCTGGTGGCCTTTAAAGTCTGACTGGACTTTTCTCACCTATGGCCAGACCTTATAAGGCTCAGCTGTAAGTTCCTCACCCCTGGCTAGAATTTCAGTGCTCAAAAACTCACCCCTGGCCAGACCTTATAAGGCTCGGCTGTAAGTTCCTCACCCCTGGCTAGAATTTCAGTGCTCAAAAACTAGAATGAAGAAATAATTGCTTTGTTTACTGAAGAAATAATTCTCAGTTTCCTTTTTTTCTTTTTCCCTTTCTTTCTCTCTCTCCTTTAACATATTCCTCTTCTCTTTCATAATTTAGGTGTTACAGGAGTCTGAAAGCTCAGTTCCCAAATGAGCTAGAATTCATCTTTATCATTTCTTTCCCTTCTTTCACTACCAGCTGAAGGATTTTCCATTAGGTTATGCTCTTTACCTAGAGAGTTCACTCAAATTGTTCATTTGAGCCCATTTGTTGGTTATTGAGTTTGTATTTCTTTAAGACTGCCTACGTTATAAGTTACTTTATGCTACTCCAAAGTCTCTCTTTTAAAGTTTATCAATTGTATGTTTTTACCTTTGCTCTTTTGTTTGACAGCCTGGGTTGGTGGCTTTATAGCCATTTCCATCATCAGTTTCCTGTCTTTGCTGGGTGTTATTTTAGTGCCTCTCATGAATCGGGTGTTTTTTAAGTTTCTCCTGAGTTTCCTTGTGGCATTGGCTGTTGGGACATTGAGTGGTGATGCTTTTTTACATCTTCTTCCACATGTAAGTATGGTAATTTGTCCTATTAGTGTATTGTATTATTCAACATTGAAAATATACATACTTTTTTGTTTATTTGTACTAGAATTCTTTGTATTGATATTTATAAAGGTAAGCAATTTGGTTTAGAGGAGTTGACTTTAAAATATATTTGGTAACCAAAAGCTGCATTTTGAGGCTTGATCTTTTTATTATTATTATTGATTTGAGAGAGAGAGAGAGAGAGAGAGAGAAACATCGATGTAAGGGAAACATTGATTGGCTGTCTCCTGCACAAGCCCCAACCGGGGATCAAACCCGCCACCTGGATATGTGCCCTGTCTGGGAATCGAACCCACAACCTTTTGGTATATGTGATAATTCTCCAATCAACTGAGCCACACCAGCCAGAGCTGTGCTTGAGCTTACTACATTGTGTGGTGTGTTTTTTTGCTTTTCTTTATAAAGACTAATTTAATTTTGGGGGTCCAGTTAATAAAAGGAGACAGATTCTACTCAGATGCTAGTATTATGACAGTCTGCAACAGTGTGAATTGTCTGCTTACATATTAGTGTAATTGCCACAAAAATAAAAAATGTGGCTGTCTACCCAAGAAACTTGAGGGTTTTTCTTCAGAGTTGAGTCAATGTGTGTATTTACAGATTTGTACTTGGTGACATGAGTGAATTCTTAAGTAAAGCAAGTTTGGTAAAGTGAGTTTACTTTTCCATTAAATATTTGGTGTAGGTGCGCAGGTAGAAAATATTTGGATCTAATTTTTTAAATTTCCCTTAGAGATTTGCAGGTATGTGTGAGGCGGGGGGGTTATTCCTAGAGTTCTACATATCTCATCATGCTTTCTCCAGTAGTGAAAGGGAGCTGTTTTGCTGTGACAAACTCCCTGACCATCAAATGGCAGATGTTCAGGAATATCTGCTGCACAAAGTGACATGTACATGGGGTGTACCCTGTAACCCCACCACCAAGCCTAGTCTGTCCTCTGTGTATGTGCCACACCCAACTTCCTAAGATGAAGTAACATAGTCTCTGCTGCATTCCTGCAGGCCACTGGCCAGAGCCCCTGGATCAGGTACTTGCCAGGGCTCATTACACAGATTGGACTTCTTGTAAGCACACTGATGACAGTGGTGTGAGCTTTTCAGCGAGGAGTGGAAGCAGTAAACTCTACAGACCTATTAAGTCTGGCAGTTCCCTGTTATTTAATGTCCTAAATTTCCCTCATTCCAAAGTATCCTTTTAGTTGCCCAATTCTGAATTACTTCAAGTTTGACCTTATCTTAGCCAGTTTTTCAGACATGTGAAACTAGTGAATTTATAAAACACATGTTGTTTTTGCTTTTAGTCTCATGCAAGTCACCACCATAGTCACAGCCATGAAGAAACAGCAATGGAAATGAAGAGAGGGCCACTGTTCAGTTATCTGTCTTCTCAAAACATAGAAGAAAGTACCTATTTTGATTCCACATGGAAGGGTCTAACAGCTCTGGGAGGCTTGTATTTAATGTTTCTTGTTGAACATGTACTCACATTGATCAAGCAATTTAAAGATAAGAAGAAAAAGGTAAGAAAAAGTATACTAAGTACTTACTATGCATCAAACATTTATTTAGAGTAGTGTTCTAACTAGACTGTTAGCAGAGCTTGTCCTGGGTATATGATCTTTGTTTGAGAGGTGTTGAGCATTTTTGAGATACTTTTAGCTCTGAGAGACATTAATGGAGAGCAAGTCTGTATCTTTCTAATGCTGGAGTTCTCTATCTTCAGAATTACCTTCAAACTCATGAGAGGGTTAGAAAGGCAAGGATAAACATTTATATAAATGACCAAATAGGGCACAAGTGGATCCTTGAAGATTAGAAGATTCATGATTATGGCCCTGATGGTTTCATGGGTATATACTTTTCCCCAAACTCTCTGAGTAGTATACATCAAATATGTAAAGCTGTTTATATCTCAATCATACCCCAGTAAAGTGGTTTAAGAAAAACCATGGATATACCATTAATATTCATTGGTAGTTATGATTATGTGATTAACTTCTAATTATTCACCCAGTAGCTAGTTATTCAGTTTTTTTTTGAAAGGATATGTGGCTTTCACAGATACGACCTTTGTAAATTTCCTCTAGAAAATAGTATGAAGCCAAACTACCAGGGTTCTTATTCCGGCATCTAGAAGGGTTCAGCAATCTGGAGAAGGGCTGTGTGTAACTTAATAAAGAGTCCAGAGATGAAACATAATTTTGAAAGGCATTTGAGGGTCAGAGGAGCCTAGCTAAAGAAACTAAGTTCTCTTTGTCTCAGGACCCCTTGCTATTTCTTTAGTTTTTTTTTTAGTTTTATTTTATTTTATTGGTTTTCTTTTTACAGAGAGGAAGGGAGAGGGATAGAGAATTAGAAACATCGATGAGAGAGAAGCATCGACCAGCTGCCTCCTGCACACCCCTACTGGGAATGTGCCCGCAACCAAGGTACATGCCCTTGACTGGAATCGAACCTGGGACCCCTCAGTCCCCAGGCCGACGCTCTATCCAGTGAGCCAAACCGGCCAGGGAATCCCTTGCTATTTATTAACACAATTTGTCCTAAGGCAAGGTGAAGATATATACTTCAAAGGATAGGGTTAGGTACAAAAATCCATTGTCAGATTGGAAGAATTTGCCTAAGGTTGTTCAGGTGTTTGGCCAGTAGGAGGCAATAACATGTAGATTAAGATGCCCTGAGCTGTCTGGCAGCAAGCAATCATCCTTTTCAGGTTTGGGGAAATGTCCTCAGCCATTCCTAACAGGTGACAACATATGTGACTCAGCCCTTGTTGAGTCCCCAAGTTCCATCAACCTTTTGATGAAACTCTTGCAATTATGACATGCTGGAGTTGGCTTCCAGCACCAAACAGTAGACTCTTTATTTCTGGTAAAAATAACTTTGAGTTGCCTGTGGTTATTTGCCTCTTATCTGATGTGACCAGGCAAGTCACTCTAAAGACTAACCTAGTGGAGACTTTTTATTTTTTTCCAGTGGGGACTCTTAAAAATTACATGTGCATATCTTGGACATTTTAATTTAACTTAGAACATTTGTATACTCCTGATGTTGACCAAGATTATCTTAGAGTTAGATTCTGTGTGATGATTTTTTTTTTCTACAGCAATGATGCTTCATCTACAATCTTCAGTTTTGGTTTGTCTATAGTTGAGCCAGAGGTTACATACTTGTAAGGATAGTTTGGGTATAGAATTTAGATTTCAGAAATTTTAAAAATTGTAGACAGTAGTCACTTTACATAATTTGATAGCCCTTTTTTTAAAGCAACTTGTCTTTGACTTTCAAATGCATTCAACTTAAGTTTTCATAGAAGTAACTATTCTCACCATCATCACATAGTTTGAGCAATAGGTAATTAAATTGTATAGTTACAATAACAGCTATAACTCATAAGGACATTTGAAAACTAGCAGAGTTATTCTCACTGAACATAGAGCTCACTGTGGGAAACAAGTGCTTGTATGAAAGGAAAGCAGCCTTCTACTCAGTCCTGGGAATATTTCCCCTTACGGAGTTTACATTCACAAAAATCTCAAATTGCAAATCTTTTTTTTTTTTTTCCCTTTGTTGTGCTTTGGTTTTGTTTGCTTTTATACTTTTTTTGGGGGGGGGGTGTTTTTTCAAAGTGCAAATCTTGGATCTTCTCTTTGCTGGACCTAAATTTAGAGGAAAGAAGTGAAATAAGAATAACTTATTCATTATTTTTTTATTTTTATCCTCACCCAAGGATATTTTTTCCATTGATTTTTTTTTTTTTTAGAGAGAGGAGGGGAGGAGAAAAAGAGAAAGAGAAACATCATTCTGAGAGAGACACATCAGTTGGTTGCCTCCCACACATGCCCCGACCGGGCTGGGCCGGGGATCAAGCCTGCAACTGAGGTGCGTGCCCTTGCCCGTGAATCGAACCTCAACCCTGTGATCTGCAGACCAGTGCTCTAACCACTGAGAAAAACCGGCCAGGGCATTTTATTCATTCTTAATTCAGGAAATTATCATCTGTGTTCCCATTGGTCTTGGACTGGTTTGAGGCAATATCCTATTTCTTTATGTTCTCTGGAATTAATCTTTCTGGAAAACATTTCTTTAATTTATTTTTAGAATAAAGTATCAAAATAAAACATGCTCATTAGAAAACTTTTGGAAAATTTTTGAGAAAAATACTAGAGGCCCGGTGCACAAAGTTACGTGCACTGGGGCGGTGGGGTCCCTCAGCCCAGCCAGCACCCTCTCACAGTCCTCACAGTCTGGGACCTCTAAGGGGATCTCCGACTGCCAGCTTAGGCCAGCTCCCTAAGCAGGCAGTCAGACATAACTCTCACAGTCTGAGACCCCTCGCTCCTTACCGCCTTCCTGCAGCGGAGGCAGGAGAGGCTCCTGCCACCACCGCTGCGCTCGCCAGTGTGAGCCCAGCTTCTGGCTGAGCAGCGCTCCCCCTGTAAAAGCATACTTACCACCAGGGGGCAGCCCCTGCGTTGAGCATCTGCCCCCTGGTGGTCAGTGCACATCATACACCAGCCATCTGGTCGATTTGCATATTAGGGTTTTATTACATAGGATTTTCCTGTAGTGCACCACTCTAATACAACCATTATTACATTTTTGTGTGATCTTCCCAGGCTTTTTGACACTTTTTTTTCTTAATTAAAGTTAACATTCAGTATTATTTTATATTAGTATTATTTTATGTTAGTTTCAGGTATACAGCATAATGGTTAGATAATTATATAATTTACAAAGTGATCCCCGATAATTCTCATACCCACCTGGCACCATACACAGTTATTACAATATTATTAACTACATTTCCTGTGCTGTACTTTATGTCCTCAATGACATTTTGTAACTGCCAATTTGTACTTCTTACTTCCTTCACCTTTTCCACCCAGTCCCCCAAACCCACCTGGAATTTTTCTTAACTTAAAAAAATAAAAGGTGTCCTAAGCCGGTTTGGCTCAGTGGACAGAGTATAGGCCTGCAGACTGAAGGGTCCTGGGTTCAATTCCGGTCAAGAGCACATGCCCAGCTTGTGGGCTCAATCCCCAGTAGGGGGCGTGCAAGAGGCACCCAATCAATGATTCTCTCTCATCATTGGATATTTCTATTCCCTCTCCCTTCCTCTCTGAAATCAATAAAAATATATTTAAAAAGTAAAAAAAATAAAAGGTCATTTTTAGTTTTGGGGGGGAATAGGATTGGGGGTTTGTTGGTTGGTTTTACCTTTTTTCTGTTTCAAATTCCATAATGTATTGAACATAATTTTTTAAATATATTTTTTATTGATTTCAGAGAGGAAGAGAGAGGGATAGAGAGAAAAATCAATGATGAGAGAGAATCATCAATAGGCTGCTTCTGAAACGCCCCCTGACCAGGAATTGAGCTGTGACCTCCTGGTCAACACTCAGCCACACCAGCCAGGCTGAGCATTATAATTTCAATTTAGTTTTTAAATTTTAGTTAAAGATAACTTTTGTTTAATCTGACACTTTAACATGATAGATTCTCTATGATTTAATACAGAATAGTATTTTTCAAACTCTAGCTTGTAACCTATTAGTGAGTGTGAAATCGATCTTGTATCCATGTTTTTAAATACAACAATAGCCTGGCTGGCGTGGCTCAGTGGTTGAGCATCAACCTATGAGCCAGAAAGTTGTGGTTCTTTGGTCAAGGCACATCCCCAGAGAGGGGCATGCAGGAGGGAGCTGATCAATGATTCTCTCTCATCATTGATGTTTCTGTCTCTACCTTCTCTCTGAAATCAATAAAAATATGCTTTAAAAAAATACTACAGTATAGTGTATATATATATATATATATATTACTATGTATATATTACTGTGGATTGTAGTCAAAGTTTGATAATCCCTATTCTAAACTAAAATAGCTTCTACTAGAATGTAAGCTCTTAAGAGCCAGGACCTCTTTGTCTTGTTCACTGCTACATCTCCAATTCCTAGAATAGTGACTGGCACATAAGAGATTATTTAAAAAAAAATAGTTGTTGAATGTAAAGAAACATTAAACAGCAGGTAAACATAATTTCTAGATGGGAGTTTTGCCAACATTGTCCTTTCTTTTTAGATTGAGTGTCTCTTTTCAAAGACATCCAGATCTTATTTAATCTCATTTGGTTCTTTAAAAAGAAAAAAAAGCTATTCATTACATGGTATTTAGAGCTCTTTAGACCCATAACAGAACATTTTACCTAGGATTTTCCTTAAGACATCCATCCTGCACCCCTTTATATCATAGTTTTAGGTTACTTGCCATCTATGACAATCTGAAATCTCTATTAAAATTAGGTTTACATTTCATACTTGATATACTAGTAGTTAGAGAGTTAAAACAGTTCAACATCAAACTTTCCGCCAGTAAAGGTTTTTGTTCATGCTGGAAATCTGAGAATCATCAATGACATCTCCCTCCTCATGTTCAACCTAGTTATATTAAATATATCTAGAATTTTTCCATTTCTCTCCATCTTCCTTGCAATTCTAGTCCATGCCATCCTTATCTCCCCCCTGGGTGACAATAGTTGCCTCCTAATGGACATGTTGACATTATTTTGTCTTCTAATCCAGGCAGAGTGATTTGTTTAAATGAAAATCTAATGAGGTTGGACTCCACTACTTAAAATCCCTCCATTAGTGATTTCTCATTGCTTGTAGGACAAAGCCACAACTCTTACAGTATAACCAGTTTGCATTGTCTGGTCTCCTCAGCTGCCCAGCCTTATCTCTAGCCACCCTGTCTCTAACCTACTAGGCCCCAACCACCTTGTCCTTGTTTCTGTTAAAGATGGGCTGGCCCCTTCCTGGCCCTCCTACATGCTATTCTCCCTGCCTGGGATACTGTCTCTCTCACCCTTCCCCAGCAAACCCCTGCTCATCTTTAGGTCTTGGTACAAATATCACTTTCTGGAGGAAGCCTGTCCTGAGACGTGGTATTGTCTTGTTATACACTCTGAGAGCACTCTGTGTTTTTTCTTTGTAAATGCAATCAAAGAATCGTGTAATCATTATCTGTGTAAAGCCTCCGCCTTCCCTGTAGGTGATAAGCTCTGTGAGAACAGAGACCCTTTGTTTCTTATTTTACGTGTATTGCCAGCGCTTAGCAAGGGAACATTATAGGCCCTTAATACTTAAGGAATAAAGGAATTCATTAAGATCTGTAAGTTCTCGAGAGAGAGTCATTGCCCAACAAGAAATGAAGCATCAAGTGAAGTTATTTAAAATACCCTGAATTGTTTATGTTCACAGATATTTAAATACTTCCTCTGTTTGAGGTATTGTGTTAAGGGTAGGTATAAAGATTTGTGTGTGTGCTTGCCTTTAAAAACTCTTACAACCTGTTGACGTAAGAACATACAAAACTGTGAACATTTTTATGAGTTTATCAGAATTTATTTGAGCCAAACAGGACATGCCTGGGAGCAGGATCTCATCAGACTGAGAACAATGCTTCCCAGAATGAGAGCTCGCAATTTCTTTTATGCATTTGGAATTAAGGAGGGAAGTAAGGAAGATTACTTGAAGTGAAAGAGCAAGGCCAGGAAATATCTGTGATTCAATACAGGATGGTTGACAAGATTATGTGCTCTCCTGAGGTGGTTCTGGTTCCATTCCTAAAGGGAATGAAAAAGAGGCATTTCAAAGGTGTGTTAGCAGATGTACAAAAACAATGAACAGGGCTTACTTAAGGCAAAGGTAACAGTTCACGAGGGAAGTTATAGACCATAACCTTCCCAGTTAGAAATTTATGATCAGATCAATTATCCTGTGAGGTTACTTTCAGTCACTGCACTTGTCAGATTTATTATAGAGCCTCTTTTTCATCCACAAACCTAAGAATGTACAGATATCTTATACACTGTCAGAACTAGAATGAAATCTTAGGTATAATAGTGATTGTTTAAGTCATATTCAAAGGTACTACAAATAAATGTAATTTTTGTGTGACATTTTTAGTATTTTGAATATTATCTTCTATATAAGTTAGTACCATTGTTTAAACCAGTGGTCGCCAACTGGTGGTCCGTGAGGTCCGAAAGGTTGGCGACCGCTGGTTTAAACAGTGACCTTTTGCTTGGGCTCAGAGATAGGAACAGTACCTCAAGCATAGTGGTTAAAACCCTAATTATAAATTCAAGGCTGAGATTTGTTTCAAAAGGGAAAGCCTGTTAATGGTGTTATATTATATGAAAAGTATTTTAGTTATAATAATAAATACATAGCAGTGTCACAGTATAGTTTTAGGATGTAAAAATTATGGGAAGTACGGATTTTCAGCATACAAAAGAGAGATGGAGAAAACCTAGCATTGGTTAGCAGATTACTAAATGTCTGAAGAAAATGCTCTCTAGCTGGTTCTAAATTGATAACCTGAGGCAGAGCTCAATTTTAATGTGTATGTGAGTCACGGGGATCTAGTTAAAATCCCCATCTGATTCATTAGGTCTGAGATTGTGCATTTCAAACAAGCTCCCAGGGGATGCTGTGCTGCTTACGTAAGACCACACTTAGAGTAGATGACCTCGGGGACATTCATAAAGATGAATGTGATTCTTCTACATTTCATATTACTGAGGCACTGATTCTTCACCTTTTGAACAGTTACTGTGCCTAGGACACATTGCTGGGTCCTGTGCAAGTTAAATGCAGGCCTTGTCCTTTTAGGTGGCCTTTATTCCAATGAAGGTTTGTTACTCTGCAGGTTTTTTCTGTATCTTTTGTTTAAGTGTCTATTTAAAGTTGTATGCATAAGCAAACCAGCTATTTTAAAGTATTTATTTCCGCCCTGGCTGGTTTGGCTCACTGGATAGAGCATTGGCCTGCGGACCGCTGGGTCCCCGGGTTCGATTCTGGTCAAGGGCACATGCCTGGGTCACTGGCTCGATCCCCATTAAAGTATTTCTTTCCCTTGCTATGTTAGAATCAGAAAAAAACTGAAAATGATGATGACGAGGAGATTAAGAAGCGGTTGTCCAAGTATGAATCTCAACTTTCAACAAATGAGGAGAAAGTAGACGCAGATGATCGTAAGTCCTTATGAATCTGAGGGTTGGAGAGAACTCATTGCTCTTTTTGGACTTATGGAAGGGATGGAACCATGTCCCTCTTTTTTTTTTTTTTTTGACTCATACATTTTTTAATTGCCAGTGAGTAGGTTATTTATAAGGATGCAGAAGAAATTAAGGGAGGATCTGAGGAGTAGTTATTGAAGGTTAATGTTTAAAATCTATTCTTAATATGTGAGACCATTTAATTTTTAAAATTCATTAAAACCTATTAATGTTTTTTTCATCAGTAATACTCGAATGGCCTTAGCTGGTTTTGGCTCAGTGGATAGAGTGTTGGCCTGCAACTGAAGGGTCCCAGGTTTGATTCCGGTCAAGAGCACATGCCCGGGTTGCATGCTCGATCCCTAGTAGGAGGCGTGCAGGAGGCAGCCGATCAATGATTCTCTCTCTCTCATCATTGATGTTTCTATCTCTCCCTCTCCCTTCCTCTCTGAAAGCAATAAAAAATATATTAAAAAAATAATACTCTAATGTTTAGACCTTCAGGTATATGGGGGAGAGTTGCTCCATTTTAAGATCTTTTTTACCTTAATTGTCAGTGGAAATGTTTGAAATGTGTCCTTTTTGTTTATACCCAGGGCCTGAAAGCTATTTACGAGCAGACTCACAGGAGCACTCCCACTTTGATTCTCAGCAGCCAGCAATCTTGGAAGAAGAAGAGGTCATGATAGCCCATGCACATCCACAGGAAGTCTATAATGAATATGTACCCAAAGGGTGCAAGAATAAATGCCACTCGCATTTCCATGATACACTGGGCCAGTCAGATGATCTCATTCACCACCATCATGACTACCATCATATTCTTCATCACCACCACCACCAAAACCACCACCCCCACAGTCACAGTCAGCGCTACTCTCGGGAGGAGCTGAAAGATGCTGGCATTGCCACACTGGCATGGATGGTGATAATGGGCGATGGCCTGCACAATTTCAGCGATGGCCTAGCAATTGGTACACATCTACATATTTGCCTCTTATTGGTTGATTATCAAAATGTTGTTTCTTTGGCTACTTTGACAGTGAAATAATAAAGTGAAAAGAGCGGTGCTTTCTCCATTTACCTATATTGTAACTACCAAAAGTTGTTTTAATTTGCAAGGTCTTAAGATCAGGTTCCAATGTGTTTGGAGCATGTGTGAGTTTTGTCCCCTATTCATTTAAGTTCTCTTATCTGCAATATAAACAGTATTTATTAAAGTAAAAGAATCTGTTCTATCAGCTTTTCTTTCATGCTATAAAGGATTCTATATCTGATAAGTTCAGTTACCAATCTCTATCCAAAGAACTATAGAGTTTTTGCTATTAAATTGTTATACCACAAATAGGAGATTATAGAATACGTACTTACAATTTTAGTAACTTAGTTCTAAAAGGAACCATGGAAATAGCTATAAATTAGGCAGCTGAGGCCTGGCAAGGTGAACTACTTGCCCAAGGAGATAGTGCTGTTTGAGATGAACCCAGGCCTTGGCTCCCTGGGAGCCTGGTGTTCTTCCCCCTCTATGTATTATGCACAGCCTGAGCAACAGATAATACTCAAATACTAAGTCATGGTTTATACATGACCAGTTGTATAATATGTTAGCTTTTAAAAGGAGGAGAGCTATTTGTCTTAGACTCTTTTTATGAGACAGTGAAAGAATGAATGTAAATAAGTCTGATTACGTAGTGAATTCCTCTGAGGCCAGTAAAACAATTTGTACTCTTGACTGATGAGTTTTTTCTAAACCTTTTAAATCAGTTTATTTTATATTTTTAAATAAGTGTTTGATGCGGTAGCAATTACTTCTCAGGTTTTTATAATGCATAGTGGAACTGTCCCTTTTTAATCATACCAGCATGTGCTCCATTGGAAAGTTAAACTTAATTGAATGTAATCTAGGGTTACTTACAAAGATACAGAGTGCAGTTGGGAAAGTTCTGTTTATTCACAACCAGAATCCGTTTTATTTCTTTTACCTCATTTTGTATGCTGGTAAGATTTTTTTTTTTTTTTTTTAGAAACTCATCTTGGATGAAATTTTGCTTAAGTGTTCCTTTTTTTGCCTTCTTAACAAGGCTGACTGAAAACCTTTTAATCTGTTCTTGATGATTTTTGATTATCATAATGAACACTTAGTTACGGTTCTGTGCTTTAATGTGGTGATTTCCAACCTCAGAGGTTCTCAAGAGTTAGGACTGTTTACTTACACTGTGCTTTTTAAATTGCAACAAGAAGCAGCGTGGCTTCAAGGACTTGGGAGCCAGACTGTCCAGGTTTGTGTCCCCGTTTTGCATCTTATTCGTGCTGTGACCTTGAACGAGTACTTAACCACTCTTTGCCTCAGTTTTTTCTTCTGTAAATTGGGAATAAGAGTCGTACTTAATCCATAGGATTATTGTGAGAAATTTTATATGTTTATAGCTTTATGCCAGCATACTGACACCTCAGTGGTCATTTCTTCATACACACAGTATGAATTAGACCACGGGAATCAAATGAGTCATCTTCCCTTAACAGAGAGAATCTCTTTGGAGCTGAAGAAAAACCCCTTCCCAAAGTTATTCTGGATCCGGTCATGTCCTTGTTTTTTCCCCATAAACACATATTTGCACACACCGTGACACTATTTTCACTCCATTCCTTGGCATGTGTTCTGCCACTCAGAAGGCCTCCCACTTGCCTGCTCAGTGCTTATAATCAACATCTGGTTTATGTTCTGTTCTGGATCCTTCATGCTCCATGAAGCCTTAAGTATTCCCGTCTTAATGTATCTCATTTTCTCCTTGTATAACTAGAACATTAGACTCTTTAGCTCTTAATTATAAATTGCCTTTATCATTTGCTGATCATTTCATGTGTGTTCTCCATGGTCCTCCAGTTTATGGCCAATTATAAGCTCCTTAAAGACAGTGTAAGAGCATAGTAATAGTAGGTTTGTATCACTCATTAACCAAGTGGGAGCATTCAGAAAAACTTTGGATAAAAAAATCTTAGTGTATAGAGGTGTTAGAGTGATTTACACTGTTGTTTTCCTCTTAAAAATTAGATAATTTCTAAAAAAAATTTAGGTAATTTCTTAAATCTGTGAAGTCTTTTGGGTATATGTTGTTGTTTTTGTTTGGTTTGTTTGTTGTTTTGGTTAATCCTCACCCAAGGGTATTTTTTTCGATTGATTTTTAGAGAGAGTAGAAGTGGGGGGGACGGAGAGAGAGAAACAGATGTGAGAGACACATCAATTGGTTGCCTCCTGTACGTGCCCGACCAGGGCCGGGGATCCAACATGCAACCCAGGTTTGTGCCCTTGACTGGGAATGGAACCAGAGATCCTCCAGTCCAGCAGTCACCAAATGGTGGTCCGCAGACCACTGGTGGCCCTTGAGGTCCGGAAGGTTGGCAACCGCTGCTCCAGTCCATGGGCCAACGCTCTAACCACTATTAAGAACTTTCCAGGGCAAAGACTTAGGTATGTGTTTTTAAAATGATTTTTCAATTACTTAATCCCTTTTTTGTTTTCGTTAAAGGTGACTTTGCTGTTTTACTAAAGGCTGGCATGACTGTTAAGCAGGCTGTTCTTTATAATGCTTTGTCAGCCATGCTGGCATATCTTGGAATGGCAACAGGAATTTTCATTGGTCATTATGCTGAAAATGTTTCTATGTGGATATTTGCACTTACTGCTGGCTTATTCATGTATGTTGCTCTGGTTGATATGGTAAGTTTTTACGATGTCAAATTATAGTATTGACTAGCAATAAAATAGAGAAACTTAAGGGAAACCTTATTTTTAAAAAGGCTTTAGATTGAATGCAGTAGTGATAAGTCATCCTATACTCAACAAGGTAGAATATAAAATATAGTTCCTTTAGAGTTTATCTTTCTGAATTGTTGATCACAAGCACATTCTTATCCTGCTTAATGTGTCTGAGGATACAGAGAAATATCTACCCCATTCTGATTTAAATGTTTTTATTGATTTGAGAGAGAGGAAAGAAGAGGGAGAGAGAAACATTGATGAGAGAGAATCATTGATCAGCTGCCTCCTGCACGTCCCCTACTGGAGCTCAAGCCCACAACCTGGGCATGTGCCCTGACCAGGAATTAAACCCAGGACCTCCTGGTGCATGGGACAACGCTCAACCAACCAAGCCACATGGGCCAGGGCACTAAAATTTTATTTTATATAGTGTAAGGTTTTCATATATCTGAACTCAGATAAGCCATAGGTTATATTCTGTTCTGATACAGGCATGAAGCAGGAGCAAATGGGACCAATATAAATTTGACTTGCTAAGCAGATGGTAAATAATCATTATTAATTAAACTGCTAGGAAATGCTATGTGACATTAGCGAGAATCAGTATGTATGTGGTCTTGTTTTAAGGAATTGACTCCGTATATCCAGCTACATATAGTACAAATAAACTATCCTGCAAAGGCTTATAAAAACTAATCTGTAGTTTTGAAAACTTAAAGTTGCTCTTTTTTTTTTTCTTCTCTAAGGTACCTGAGATGCTGCACAATGATGCTAGTGACCATGGATGTAGCCGCTGGGGATATTTCCTTTTACAGAATGCTGGGATGCTTTTGGGATTTGGAATAATGTTGCTTATTTCCATATTTGAACATAAAATTGTGTTCCGTATAAATTTCTAATTAGGGTATAAATGGTAGAGTAGCTTAAAAAAATGCTGTCTATAGTTTGAATAGGTCATAGGGAAATGAGAGTAGTTACTGTGATATTCAGCATTTAAAGTAAGTGGATTTTGTGATTTTTGTATGGAATATTGCCATTTGTTATGCTTATAAGGTCAGTTATGGTGGTAACCTAAAGGTACATTTTAATATTTAAGTTATTCTATTTGGGGAATATAATCTATATATGCAATTTACCGGTTTTACCAGTCTATTGTAAACAAGAGATTTGGCATGAATGTTCTGCATATTTCAAGAAAAATGTCTTTAATGTTTTTTTCTAGAACTAATTTAACAGTAATTCCCATGCTGGATTTTAGGACTCCATAGAACTGCTCATGTTCAGGAGTAAGAATACTCACGAAGCCTAAGATGCCAATAAAGCTTGTACTGAATTTAAGTTAAGAAATAAGGAGGGACAAAAAATATGTGAGGATTAAGAAGGCATAAATTTATTTTTAAAAAAATCACACAAGTGTTTGTAAAATAGAAGGAAAATTTAGATTTAAATTAAAAAGGCAATATTAGTATAGAGCACATGTGTAAACATTTTTGTCAGAGTATTAATGTTCCCATAAAACCATAGTAAGCACTTTTTACTAATTTAGTTGTACATTTAACTTTATAATGGAAACATCTAAATATAATTAATTCAAACACTATACCACTTGACCAAGAAATTTAAATTTTAAAATATTTGTGTGGAGATATACTAGATGAGTGTGAGCAAGTTTCTGTATTGACAGAAGATTTAGACATCACCAAGTTATGTATTGCCCAAAGTTATAATTGGATAGTTACCTGGTTTACCAAATGTCAGCGTATTAGGACTTTGAGAAAAGGACGTTAAAACCATACTGAGTTGATTTTGACTTCTGGATTCAGGAAGTACTTTGGTATCTTTCAGTGCTTCAGTGTTTTCACTATGACATGTTTATATACAGTATAGTACTTTAGACATCCTAGGGCTGTCTGTGGAATTCTTTAGATGTTACTTTTCTACAAAATAAAATCCCCATGTCATCTTGATATTAAATGTCTGATACTTCTTTTAACCATCTTGAGCATTTTAAAATATACTAGAGGTCCAGTGCACGAATTCGTGTATGGGTGGGGCCCCTCTGGGTGGCATGCAGGGCTCAGGCCGAAACCTGCAGTCCAATGCCGCCTTCAGTTCCCACCTGCCGCCCCCATTCATCCCGGCCCCACTGTGCCTGCCGCCCAGTCAGTCCTGATCAGGAGAGGCTTGTGCTGCCTCAGCAGCACTCGCCAGCCATGAGCCCTGCATCTGGCGCCCTCCCAAGGGGAGTGGCCTGTGGGATCGGGCTGAAACCGACTCTCCGACATCCCCCGAGGGGTCCTGGATTGCGAGAGGGTGCAGGCCAGGCTGAGGGACCCCATCGGTGCATGATCGGGCCAGGGAGGGTCCGCACAAGGGCTTCAGGGCATGTCTGGCCCATCTCACTCAGTCCCGATCAGCCAGACCCCAGCAGCAAGCTAACCTACTGGTTGGAGCATCTGCCCCCTGGTAGTCAGTACACATCATAGCAAGTGGTTGAATAGCATTAGCATATCATTAGCATATTATGCTTTGAGTGGTTGCTCTGCTGTTGGGTCTATTTGCATATTTCCCTTTTATTATATAGGATGGTTCAGTAATTTTAAGTATATTTACATTTTTGTACAATGGATCTCCAGAATCTTTTCACCTTGCAGAACTGAAACAATATATCCATTAAACAACATATGTCCTCCTCCCACAGCCCCTAGTAGCCACCATTCTACTTTCCATTTCTGTGAATTTGAGATACTAGGTTTTCTTCAAAGGACACCTCAAAAAATAATCAGTCCACGGTTTGTTCCACGTTATCCCCCTTTTTTCTTTTTTTTTTTTTTAACAACCAGAGCCTTAAGCTAAAGAAGAGACGTTAATATCCTATATTCTAAAGAGAATCAGAAATAATTGAACAAGACTAATGATGTTGAGCATATTTTAATTTTTTTGTCATTCATGCATATTTTTTGGTGAGGTATCTGTTCCTTTATGTTATTTTATCTATGCTAATATTCAATATAATTTACATGCTTGTACATTGTCTTACCACCACCGCCCATCAACACTAAAGTGCAGGCTCCAGGAGGCTGGGACAGGACCTACTTGCCCCTGGAATCCTGCCTGGTGCTTGATGGGCAGATACTCAGTAAACTTGGAAGAGTGGATGAATGAGTCTCATTTCTGGCTCCTGTTCTCCTGACTCTGTGTGGCCTATGGGATGTAGGCTCCAGACCAGACCAGCTGCCACTCCCTGTCCTGTCCATACAGTGAAAGGACATCTGGGGAGCCATGGCCTGGTCCACCAAGGTTGGAGGGCAGAGTGAGGGGATGTGCCTGAAACCCAGGCCCTGTCAGAGCTGGGGGGCCCTCGGGCTTTTGAGTTTGAACTTTCCAGTTCCTCCGTATCCTGATCAGTTTTTTTAAAAATATATTTTTGTTGATTTCAGAGAGGGAGAGAGCAAGTTTTTTGTGTCCCAGGAATCTCATGTCTTCTGCCATTACCCACAAAACAGTAACAGCTAACTTGCAGCTTCGAGTTGGATAAAGTCCCAGAACTTCATAAAATCTCACAGGATACAAATGAAAAAAAATGAACATAGAATTTACAATTTACAATTCTTATATCTAGCAAATCAAGCTCAACAGTATATAATGTTATGATCACCCTGACCCATGTGGCTCAGTTGAATGTCATCCTGTGTGCCGAAATGTTGCTGGTTCAATTCTTAGGTCACGTGCCCAGTTTGTGGGCTCAGTCCCAGTCGGGTGTGCGGGAGGCAACAGATTGGTGTTTCTCTCTCTCTTACTCTCCCTCTAAGAAATCAATTAATTAAAAAAATAATCTCTATATATAACCCTAATATGCAAATAGACTGAACAACCCGTCGCTATGACCTGTGCTGACCACCAGGGGGCGCACGCAGATCAGCAGCAGATGGCAGGGTGCAGAACATGGCGGGCATTGGCCGCTGCAGGATGGTGGAGCAGGTGAGCAGGGGCACCAGACCAAGACGGGGTGCTGATCACTGTCATTGGGGCGAGCCTCTGGTGGTTACTGAAAATTCTTTGCTCCCTCATGCCACGGTCCTGCCCCAGCGCTTGCACCTGCTGCCAGTGCCCAGCGCCAGCCCCAATCGCAAGGCGCCATCAGCAGGTGCAACTCGGGGCTTCTCCATCTCCCCCTGCTCCAGAGGGGCGATTGGGGCAGCAGCCACCACTTGCACTGGCTGACGACATGGAGCGATTGGTGTGGGAGTGAGTAGACAGGGGCAGACGGGGGACTGGGGGCTGTGGCAGGAGAGTCCAGGCGGGGGCACCGAGGATGGGCCGAGACCTGCCTCTGTGCCCACAGCAGCCTCACGGCCCACAGTTCCTTTCAAGATGCACAAATTCATGCACTGGGCCCTTAGTATATTATGATCAAGTAAGGTGTTCCCAGGAATGCAAGAATGGTTAATCAGAAAACCTATTACTACACTATACCAACAGATTAAAAAGAAAAAAAATTCAGTGGCATTATATCCACTCACATGTACAACCATCACCACCATCTCCAGAACTCATTCATCATCCCATACTGAACCTCTGTCCCAGTGAACAATAATGTCCCTACCCCAGTCCGTGGTAACCACAATTCTACTTTCTGTCTCTATGTATAGGGTGTTCCAAAAATGTATACATACACTTTGAAAAATTATAAAGGCAGTGTTTATTAAAATACATTTCATTTTCAAAATTGAACTACCAGCTGTTAAAGTGTGTATACTTTTTTGGGGGAGGGGACATTCTATATTTAAGTGTTCTAGGTGCATCATATAAGTGGAATCATACAATATTTGTCCTTTTGAGTCTGGATATTGACTTAGTATAATGTCTGTAACGTTCACCCATGTTGTAGCATGTGTCAGAATCTCCTTCCTATTTGAGGCTGAATAATATTCATTCCACTGTATAAACTACGTTCTATTTATCCACTTGTCTATTGATGGTGAAGGGTTGCTTCCACCTTTTGGCTATTGTGAATAATACTGTATACAGGTATCTGAGTCTCTGCTTCAGTTCTTTACCCAGAAGTGGAATTGCTGAGCCATATATAATTATATGTTTATTAACTTGAGGAACTGCCATACCATTTGCCATAGTGACTGTATCATTTTAAATTCCCACTTCTGTGGGGTTTTTGACGCCAAGGATAAAGATATTTGCATTGGGTAAGAATTATATAATTAAATTACCTCTTAAGTCTCGTTTACTGTAAATGTAAAATTGTATAGCTAGCCTAACCAGTTTGGCTCAGTGGATAGAGCGTCGGCCTGTGGACTAAAAGGCCCCAGGTTCGATTCTGGTCAAGGGCATGTATCTTGGTTGTGGGCACATCCCCAGTAGGGGGTGTGCAGGAGGCAGCTGGTCGATGTTTCTCTCTCATCGATGTTTCTAACTCTCTATCCCTCTCCCTTCCTCTCTGTAAAAAGTCAATAAAATATATTAAAACTTTTATGAAACTTTAAAAAAAAATTCTATAGCTAATTTAATGATAAGCTTTTTGAACTGATTTACAAAATTAACCATCATTTGTAAAGCTGTTTCTTGGAGAAAATACTCATAGATTTGTTGTGTTGACTTAGAAAGCTTTTTTATATTTGGGGATACCAATACTGGGAATATCTAGAATGTATTTAAATAACTGATTATTTGAACTCACTCTCTTTTTAATGAACTCACTAGCCAGATATATTGGAACCAATCTGCCACCTTGTGGAATTTTAATGAAACTTCCAATTTTACAGATTGAGAGGATGACAGTAATTTAGAAATGATGTTCAACTATTAGTTTTTATTTATATGTCAATTTAAAAACCAGTTTTATTTAACACACCTATGCAAAATCTATATAAGGACAACCAAAATGCTACTAATGGACACAAATATTTGAATAAATGTAGAGGTATTTCTGTTCTTGGCTAGGAGGAATGCACAAAAGACATGAGTTGAGTATTCATGGGAAAAGATTCAACCGCTTTTCATTATATAAAAGATTACATATTGCAGGATTTCTCACTCATGAGAAAGGTTCAATTTAAAAATATAATTATCTACAACATAGATGAATCTTGAAAACATTATGCTAAGTGAAATAAGCTAGCCACAATGAACAAAACTTTTATTGGTTCTATTTTATTCTATGTGTTACCATTAGCTTTTTTTTTAATTTTTTTAAAAAATATATTTTATTGATTTTTCACAGAGAGGAAAGGAGAGGGATAGAGAGTTAGAAATACTGATGAGAGAGAAACATCCATCAGCTGCCTCCTGCACACCTCCCATTGGGGATGTGCCCGCAACCAAGGTACATGCCCTTGGCCAGAATCGAACCTGGGACCTTTCAGTCCACAGGCCGACGCTCTATCCACTGAGCCAAACCGGTTAGGGCTACCATTAGCTTTTTACTTCCACTATATATTAGGTAAAAACGCTTGGCAAATGAGAAGGGGCTATAAAGTAAGAATAATAGCATATAGTAAGGTCTATTGTAGGTCTCTACACCAGCGATTTTCAAGCGGTGTGCCACAATAATTTTTAAAACATGCAAAAGAGGGGCACTGACCTCTTTTCCCTTAGATTTTGAAATAAAAAATGAGAACAGTCAGCACAAAAATAGCCATTCAGTGTAAATACCCTGTCTCAAACCATATATATATGGTCATATAATAGAGTTTCATCTTATTGGTTACATTGCATCATAAGGTTGCATCTGATTGGTTAATTCTTGGTACCAGAAATCCTTATGAGTACAGGCACCTGATTTTTTAAAAATATGTTTTTATTGATTTTAGAGAGAGAAGGGAGAAAGATGGAGAGATAGAAACATGGATTGGCTGCCTCCTGCATGCCCCATACGGGGGATCAAGCCTGCAACTCAAGCATGAGCCGTGACTAGGAATCGAACTTGTGACCTCCTGGTTCATAGGTTGACGCTCAATAACTGAGCCACACCAGCCGGGCTCATGATTTTCTTAATAACATTTCTTTCTCTAGCTTACTTTATTGTAAGAATACATTATATAGTACATAAAGTTCAGTTAGAATTGAGATGGAGAAGAATAGAGTAGGAAGAGTTGGAATCTCAGGTGAAGACATAATTTGGGAGATGATAAGTAGCAATTTTGGTAGCTGTAGGGTTCATGGAAGAGAATAATGCTGAAGATACATTTAGGTCTTGGAAGACAGGTTAAACTCAGACTAAGTTAAGGTTAAAAACTAGACTAAGTAAATAGGATAAACAAAAGGATGTATAATGGGAGGAATGTAGAGACAGAAATAAATATTGGCGTGACTCTGAACCTCAAGTTGTAGTAACATTAGAAATGGGGAAGATGCCTTGACCCATGTGGCTCAGTTGGTTGAGCATGTCCCATGTACCAAAAGGTCACCGGTTCCATTCCTGATTGGAGCACATGCCGGGGTTGTGCGTTTGATCCCCAGTAGGGGGCATGCAGGATGCAGCCAATCGATGTTTCTCTCTCTCTTTTTAAAGTAAAAAACATTTAATTTTAAAAGAAGAAGAAATAAAGAAGATAAACTATACTTATAATCAAACATGCAAATAAATAAACATATTTGATGCCTATTTGGTGCAAAGTTCTTGAACAGTGCTTTTCAAAAGATGGTTTAGGAATTCTGTGGTTTCTTATGTGTCTTTCTTGAAGATTTCTGTATTAATATTTAGAATATGATAGTATCTGTTTCCTTTGTGAACTACCATAGTTAAGAGAAGTACTATGTCAAAATGTGCTGGATTAATGATGAGATTTCTGAAATTAATGTTTAATTATATAACTAATACATAAATGTTCTTGTAAAAAATATGGGAACAGTATAGACACAGTTTAAGGGTTGCAGTTCTCTTTGACACCACTATTGATGTAGTGTGTATTCTAGACCCTTTGCCTGCATTTACACACTTAAGAATTCATAAAATTTTATAGAATACTAGAGGCCTGGTGCATGAATTCCTGCACGAGTGGGATCCAGCTGGCCGGCCCTGATTGGGGTGGAGGGGGTCAATAGGGTGGGGCAGGCCAAGGGGAGTGGTCCTGGGTGGTTGGCTGGCAGGCCCCACCCCCTGGCCGAACTCCCGGTGGAACTCCTGGTCCAGGGGACAATTTGCATATTAGCCTTTTATTATATAGGATACTTTTATAAAACAAATGTTATACTATACTTCCCTTCTATAACTTAAAAAAATCCCTACCCACCATTGGATTTATTTATCTTTTCAGCTGTTGCATGTATACTGTAATTAGTTAAGTCGGCCATTTACTTGCTGTCAATGTCCCAACTCTTCACTGTACTGAGCTGGACAGGACAACTAGTACAGAGCTCCCTGGGCAAACATGCAGGTGTTTCCCTGACATTGACAGCAATTAGTGAAATTGCTGGGTCAGAGGAAAGGTGCACTTTAAAATATATCATATGAAATAGTCTTCCAAAGTGCCTGTACCAATTTACACGCCCACGTAGAGATTTTTAATCACTCCTTTCTTGGCACTGAGAATTTTCCCCGGAGGACACTAGGCCGGGCACGCCCCGCCCCACCCCGCCCACGCCCTTCCCTGCGCAGCTTTCGCCCCACCTGTGCCACTGAGGTCCCGCTTCTTCCGGGGCGTCCGTGACGTCACATCCGACCGGACGCCATCTTGCTGGTTCGCGGTGGGTCCTGGGTGAAGGCCGGCGGTGGCTTGGGCGTGGAGAAGGGTGGGGTGAGGGGGCGAGGCCGCAGCGAGTGCGGCAAAACTCTCCTCCCCTAAGCCCCACCGCGTGCGACGGCGTGAGCGCGGTGTCGGAGGGATGTCCGCCTTCTCCGAGGCGGCGCTGGAGAAGAAGCTGTCGGAGTTGAGCAACTCGCAGCAGAGCGTGCAGACCTTGTCCCTGTGGCTCATCCACCACCGCAAGCACTCGCGCCCCATCGTCACCGTGTGGGAGCGGGAGCTGCGTAAAGGTGAGTCCTCGGGAGCCCCATGCCCCCAGCGCCACGCTGCCTGGCGCTCCCGACCTGGCTCCGGTGTCCCGGGGGCTTGAGAGCAGCGTGCACCGCGCTGCCCGCAAAGTCGGCGCTTTGTAGGTAATTGCTGAATAAAGGGGCGGAGGATTAAAAAAGACCTATTGATTTAACACAGAAACAGGAACTAGGGGCTCAGGACTCGCACCTAATTGGGGCCAGAAATTCAGGCAGTCGGGTATTTTTTTCATTCTGCACATCAATCATGGAGGCTGGGTAGGAGAAAGGTAGGGAGGTGGAAAGGAAAAGATTGGTGTGAGGTTGGGAGTGACTGCCGTCATGTCTGTTACACATCAGCTCAGTCTTGTAAAATTAATAAAGGAATCCGAGTTTTAGAACTGGGAAGTCTACAATAAGATGTGGAATGCAATGGGGAAAATCCTGGATTTACAGGTTTTAGAGGACCTGGATTGGGCAAATTTATTAATTTCGGTATTGAAGTTGCCTCATCTGAATATGAGGTGGTTGGATTAGTGATCTAAGGTCATTTCTTGCTGATTATGTGCGTCTAGGGCACCGTCTTTATTTTTCAGAACCTTCGATACTGCCTCTGTAAATGAAGTTAATTTTTTTGAGTAGTAATTTGATCTCACTGAAATACCTGGAATCATTTCACTTCTGCAGAGCAACTTTATCTGTAAGAACTGATTGTATGTTAGTGCAACTGAAAATTTAAAAAATACATTTGCTTAGTCTGGATTTGTACCTCAATTCTTAATTCATTGGGTAGAGAAAGTGGGCACTCTTCATTGTTTCAGACATTCTGATGTAGCGAAAAGATGGTTATTTATTAGGGTTTTAATAAACCGTTATTAATCAAAATAGATGCCTGTTTACTGACCCATGTGAAAGCTATATGATGTATTAATTAATATGAGAGCCAGTGTAGCCTTGGCAATTTAGAATGGAGACCAACTATTTTTTTCTTGTGTGTTAATTCAGTAGAAGGAATTGATTTATAGCTCCATTTTTCAGTTTATATATAAGTGTATGTGTATTTGGCTCTAAGGAGGAATTTATCTTCTGTGAGTGGCCAGAAAGGTTTGAGAAGTCCATATATAAAGGTCTGGAAAACAGCTGTGAACTTTGAGATGGCAGGAATTGTCTTTGCTTCTACACCTTACTAGATTTCAAAATCAGCAACAGGTTCATCCTTTTTGGCGGGATAGAGCATTTAAAAACACTTATAGTCAATAGGGATTGATACCATACTATTTTCAAGAACTACCACAAATCAGTAGAAAAACGGTGATACTGTTAAACTTGAGAGAAAACTTGAAAGGCCAATAAATGATACGTAATCTTACTAATCAGAGAAAAAGAAAACAGTGAGACTCCACTTTATATTCTTTATTTTGCAAAATTAAAAAGAAAGACAATACCAGGAATTGGTGAGGATAAGGAGAAACGAACTTTCTCACACTGCCGCTTGGAATGTAAAAAGGAGATCAGCTTAGCAACCTCGAATAAAGTTGAAGGTATATATCCTTTGACCCAGCAGTTTTCTTTCTAGGAATATATCCTAGAAACTAGTACCTGTGCTCAAGGAGTTATGTTTATTGCAGCCTGTTAGTAACAAAATTAGAAACAGTTTTAAACATCTCATTAGAGTATGGACAAATATACTGTGATATTTATATAATGGAGTACTGTCTAGCTTTCATGAATGAACTAGAGCTACATAAAACATGACAGATTAAAAACAACAACAATAAACAAGCAAAATGTTGAGCTGAAAAAGCAAGGTACAGACCAGTGTGCCATTTAGTAGATTGAAAACATGCAAAGCAATACTCTAGTTTATAGATATCTGTAGTTTCAGTTACATGCATGGTAAGGATTAACACCCTATTCTATGATAGTGGTGTTGACATAAGAAACATCCAAATTGTAGAGAATTTTTACAAGAGTTTATTTGAGCCAAACTGATGACATATGCCAGAGAGTGAGATCTCAAATGCTCTGGAGAATAACAGTTTGCAGCTTTTGTGCATTTGAAATTCAGGAGGGGAAAGCAAGGTAGGGATTGGATTACAGGATAGTTAACAAGATTATGAGTTCTCTTGAGGATTAATATCCCCTTCGAGAGGTATTCTGGTATATCAAAGGTGTGCTAACCTAGATGCATAAGAACAATGGACAGGGCTGGCTTAAAACCTTTCACTAAAGAAGTTATAGGCCTGGGGCATGACTACACACCATCACCTCCCAGTTAGGAATTTCTGATCAGATCAATTTGTGAGGTTACTTTCCATAGAACCCTTTTTATTTGTCCATGGTGGTTAGTTACCATAAAGGAGAGAGGAAATGAAAATGGATTTGTTATCAATTTTTTAAATATTGATACAAATATCAGAAATGATAGATGTGTTGTTTATTATCTGTGTTTGGGGATGTTTCCATGTTTAAATGATTCATAATTAGAAATTTTAAGGCATATAATAGATGCTTTAGGAAGTGAATGGTGTTGGTGATGATAATAAGGTTGGTAATAGTGGTAATTCTATGTTTAAATTTTATACTGTTCACAGCGGCTGTCCTGTTTTAGATTGCCACTTACACTACACCAAGCATGTCAAACTCAAAGGCTAACATGGGCCAAATAAACAAGGTGTAACTTATGTGGGCTGCAAAAAAAACAAAAGCTTCAATTTTCATAGAAACGTAGGTTTATTTCGATAGAAACATGCTGAAAACAAAGGGCTGAAATAAATGAGTAATCATTAACATAAAATAATAGAACATTTTAATAAAAATTAATATTTTTCTCGAACATTAACTTACTCGAACATTTTACCAGACACTGAATAACTGCACAAATTAATAAGCGTAATGCAAATAAACCTATTTTTCTTGTTCTCCGAAAGCAAAATATTTCCTGTTGTGCACACCAAACAAGTCAGTCCAAGACTAATGAGGTGGCAGTCGGCTGCTAAAATATATGCTGCTACAGTATTAGTGGAGAGAATGGTGCACCTGCGCATAAGGGAAATGAATGCAGCACAATTATAGTGATCAGTCATTAGCGAACGTTGTAGTTCGTTATTAATAATTGTGTATAACAGGATATTGTAAAAATTAAGTTATGAAGTTTTTATTACAATGTTTCTTACATGCTGTTATATTGGCTGGGCTGCAAAAATATTGTTGTGGGCAGCATGCTGCCTGTGGACCGCGAATTTGACATGCTTGCACTACACCATGGTCCCAATTTCTGCACATGCTTATTTTGGGTTTTGAAAAGAAGTCAACCTAATGAATGTGGAATGGTATTTGCTTGTGATTTTTATTTGCATTGTCATAATGATTAGTGTGACTATATAGTGGGGATTTATTTCTGGGCTCTATATTTCATGGGCTATATGCCTCTTTCACACCACAATTGACCCTTGAACAATGCAGGATTAGAGGGATACCAACCCCTAGCGCAGTCAAAAATCTGCAAATAACTAATGCTACCTCCAAACTTTACTAATAGCCTAGTGTTGACTGGAAGCCTTACGGATAGCATGAACAATCAATGAACACATTTTGTATATTATATGTATTGTATACTGTGTCCTTAAAGTAAGGTAGAGAAAGAAATGTTATTAAGAAAAACATAAGATCATGGACAGTGTTGCTCAGTGGTTGAGTGTCAACATGTGAACCAGGAGGTTGAGGTCTGATTCCATTTCCATTCCCGTCAGGGCACAAGCCTGGGTTACTGGCTCAATCCCCAGTAGGGGGCAGGCAGGAGGCAGCCTATCAATGATTCTCATCATTGATGTTTCTATCCCTCTCCCCTCCCTTCCTCTCTCTAAAATCAATAAAAACATTCAAAAAAGAAAATCATAAGAGAAAATATATTTAGTATTTATGTTTAAAAATAAGTATATAGTGGACCCACACAGTTCAAACCTACATCTTTCAAGGGTCAATTGTGTTCTGATTACTGTAGCTTTCTAGTAAGTCTCCCTATTATAATTTTCTTTTTTAAGGTAGTTTTGGCTATTTGGGATGAGATTATATGAATTTTAGGATGGATTTTTCTTTTTCTGCAAATATGCCCTTGGGAGTTTGATAGAGATTGCATTTACTCTGTAAGTTGTTTTGAGTAGTGTTATCTTAATATTTACTCTTTAAGTTCATGAACATTGGATGTATTTCAATTTATTTATGCCTTTCTTTCAGCAATGTTTTGTAGTTTTCAGTGTATAAGTCTTATACCTCCTTAATTAAATTTATTACTATTTTATTGTTTTGATATAATTGTAAGGAATTGTTTTCTTAGTTGCCTTTTGGATTGTTCAATTGTAATTGATAAGTGCAACTGATTTTTGAACGTTGATTTTGTATCTTGCAACTTTGTTGAATATTTTTATTAGCTCTAACAGTTTTTTTGTGGAATCTGTAGGGTTTTCTACAAGTAAGATTATGTCATCTGTAAACAGATAATATTACCTCTTTCTTTTATTTCTTTTTCTTGAGTTGCTATGGCTAGAACTTCCAACACTATCTTACCTAATAATAGACAAACACGTAAATTGACCGTCCCTCCGCTACGCTAACCAGCCAATCAGGAGAGTATGCAAATTAACCCAACAAAGATGGCGGTTAATTTGCATACATAGGCGTGAAGCGGTGGAGCAAAGCCAGAGCGGCTTAGAGCGAAGGCCTGGGTCCCGGGTGCCGGAGGAAAACCGGTGCCGGCAGCCAGGGGAAGGGAAGGCCTATTGCATGAGTCTCTTCGTGCAACAGGCCTCTAGTCCTATATAGTAAAAGCCTAATATGCAAATCGACTGAAGGGCGGAACAACCGGTCCCTATGGCGTGCACTGACCACCAGGGAGCAGATGTTCAATGCAGGAACTGCCCACAGGCCCCAGGCCAGCCAAGGCGGGTGCCAGTGGGGACCCCCGGGTGGTCCCACCAGTCACCCCACAGATTGGCCCTGATTGC